ATCTTTGCCAAGAAAACCCCATAGACAGCAATTGTGTGCTATGGTCCACAGGGTTATGAAGTGTCAAACATGACTGAATGACTAAACCACAAACTTTACAGTCTACATATCTACCTATCCTCTCTTTCCTAAAGCTCATGTCCCAAAATGCTGACCAATTTCTGAACCTCATCACCTGAATGTCTCATAGCTATCTCAAGCAACAAGTCCAAGTCAAAACTCCTCTTTCTCTCTTAAATCCATCTACTCTCTTAACTTCCCTATTTCTGTTTTGGTTACCCCCATCCTTCTAGTCATCCCAATTCCCAACCATAGAGTCATCCTTCATCTCTTCCATCACCCTTTCCCCTCCCATATCTAAATCAATTGTCAAGCCTGATCAATTCTACTCCACAAAATCCTTCAGAATGATTTCTTTCTCTCCAGTCATATGACCACCACCTTCATCACTTCTTTTGAGGACTATTGCAAGAGCCACAATTTGTCTCTCTGCTTCCAGTTTCTCTCTTCTCCAATATACCTTTCCACAACTTTCACAATAGTCCTCCTAAAACACAGGTCTGACCATATCACTCCTCTGCTCCAAAATCTTCAGTGACTCTCTATGGCTTCTTCGATAAAACAAAAATTCTCTCTGGCATTTAAATCCTTTTCATGAAATAATTTCAGCCCACCATTCCAGACTTTTCCCCCTACACTATTCCACATCATGGGTGCTACATTTTAGCCAAAATTGCGTAGTGACTATTCTCTATACATGACATTTCTCTTTTCTCACCTCCTTACCTTTGCACAGTCTGTCCCCCATGTTGAGAATCCCCTTCTGCCTCTTAAAGTCCTGAGTTTCCTTCAAAGTTCACCCACACAAGACCTGTTCTGATCCTTTCATTAGTATTCTTAATTTATATTACATTGCATTTACTCTGTGTGAATATTTACTCATCTGTGTACATGTTGGAGCTCCTTACAGGGAGACATTATTTCATTTTTCTCTTTCTATTCCCAGCACTGCTGAAGTTCCTTACTCATATTATTTGCTGAAGAAATGCTTGTTGAGTTTATAAACTAGTGGTTACCTACAGGAGGGCAGCCAGGATGGTGAAGTCTCTCAAGGTGGCTCCATGTGGAAATGGGAATGTTCAACCAAGAGAAGACTCAGGGAGGAACATGAGTGCAATCTTTAAGTATTTGAAGGGCCAGCATTTGGAAGAGGAATCAGATTTATTCTGATTGGCCCTAGAATAGGGAACTAGAAGCAATAAGTGGAAGTTTCAGGGGCATCTTAGGCTAAATATGATGAAAACTTCCTAGTGATTAGAGCTGTCCAAAAGTGGAATGAATTTCCCCTGAAAAGAGGTCTTCTAGCAAAGATTGTGTGATCACTTTTATAATTGTAACACATTTCTTCTTCTCTTTCTCTTTCTCCTTCTTCTTCTTCTTCTTCTTCTTGTTTTCTTTTTCTTTCTCCATATATATATTATCCATATATTATATATATATATATATTATATATATAATGTTATATTGAAAATGGGACACTTATTCAGGTACAGGCTGGATAAAGTCTCTAAGACCTCTACCAACCTTGTGACGTGATTTTCCTTTTCTCAAGCTTAGTGCTTATAGTTGACCCATCACATTTGGGCTTATTGACCACTTTATACATTAATTATACTTAGCTATTGCAACTCTTACAAAGGAAATAAGTCAATCCTGGTGGGTCCTAGATTGACTCCATGATTCAAAAGCACTACAAGACCCTGGACAAATACTGGCGGGGGAAGCAAGAACAATGTTTCAAGTGATGGCAAGAGAACAGGGATTGACCCTCTCCATCCATGACTACATGGTAATACAATGCTCCTTTATAAGACAGAGTTATCTTATTATGAATACTGGAACAGTCAAAGGGAACTAAGAGAAAAGCAGCCTGTGCGTCAGCCAAGGGACCTCTGGCCTTTCCATCATGGCACACAAAATATCTTTTTGTTTTCTGGAAACTTAAAAAATAAAAACAGATACATTTCAAACACGGCTTCTTGAGTTAATTAAGAAACACTAGGTTTTTGATGCTTTTCTTTCCTTGCCACATGCGATGAGGCTGACCTTTAACCCACTGAATTATGCAAGGATTCTATTTCTATGTAGACATGTGTAGTAGGGTTTAAGGGGGAAAAGGAAAATAACAGGCAGAACCAATCCTTCAGTTCAGATTTCTTAGCTTTCCCCAAGGTACTTTTACACTCTATTTTGCACCCACTTCTACTCTTAGTAGTTGTTAAGGGGGGGAAGTTCTTAGGACTAGATGGTGAGAAATATTAGAGTTATTCCTATAGGTACTACTCAGGTAATTTAATCCTAAATTTCAGATTCTCTACTATGAAAATAGAATTTTTAGACTATTTAAAAAACTAGTCACCCAGATTCTGTCATGACCTCCAGTACCTACTGCTTTATATGCTAACTCCCAAATGATGGCCAGTCACAGACCTTGTAGCTACCATCCACCATCTGTAGAGAAGAAAAAATGATGATTTATATCTACTAGCCTGGCAAAAATTGATGTGCCTTCATTAGGAGTTATTCAACCAAACAGTTTGGGATTGAGGGGTCTTTTAAATGATTTTTTAAAGTTTAATTGATATTTTCTGTTTTCTACACTTTAATGCCTCTCCAATACTCATCCTACTACTACCAATGCCCCAACACCTTATAGAAGCCTTTCAACCAAAAGGGGAGGAAAGAGAGGGGAAAGGGAAAGGGAAAGGGAAGGAGCATTTATTAAGTGAATCCTATGGGCCAGGCACCATGCTAATCTCTTTTACAAAGATTATCTCTTTTGATCACAACAAAAACACCATTAAATAAAACAAACCAACTCACTATAAAGAGGATGGAAGTATTTGTCAGAAACCATCTTTTAATCAACCAAGCAATTAACATACGTTTATTATGTGCACTATTGTATTAGCCTTAGGGATATAGAGAAAATAAAAACAAACCAACCATGGTCCTTGCCCTCAGTGTAAATAAATGAATAGATAGATAGATAGATAGATAGATAGATAGATAGATAGATAGATAGATAGATAGATAGATCGATACTAAATCCATATATAATAAATGGAAGGTTACCTTGGAGCAGTTCCCAACCTGGAGTCTAAACACTTGTTTAAAAAAATTTAATAACTGTATTTACATAGGATTGGTTTCCTTTATACCTCTGTGAATTTTATTTTATGCAACTGAAGATTATTGTGAGAAAGGGTCCATAAGGTTTCCTCAGACTGCCTATCAAAGGGGTCCATGACAGAAAAGGGTTAAGAAGCCCTGACCTACAGCACCAAAATTGGTCATCACATTTGAGCCGAGTTCAGGATAAACAACCTTTCTTGATGAGATATTTAAAAAGTCAAATGTTTAAATGGAAAACTAAGCAGAAAAATGTAAAAGATGGATAAGGAGAAGGTTCTTCACTCAAGCCTTCTTCTCAAATGCTTCATGGAGCCACTGAGGTGAGCCTGGGTTCTAAATGGCTTTATTAATGGTATGTAAGATCCAGTAGAGTCTACCACACTGGAGAAATTTTGAGCAGCTAAGTTCAGAGAGATTCATCACAGTTTGCTGGATCGTGCATATAAAACTGGAAGGGAACTTGGTGGCCTTCTAGTCATTTTACAGATGATGAAAGGGAGGCATGGAGAGGTAAAGTGATTTTTCTGAGGTCACACATTGAATCATAGATCTAAAACAAAAGGACCACGGAGGCTTGATTTTATAGATGAGGAAACTGAGATGTAGAAAATGAAAATGATTCCTCCAAGACAGTAAGTGACAGAGCCAGAATCTGAATACAGTGCTCTTGACTCCAAGGCCAGCATCAATGCTAGCTGACTTTAGGATGATTTATTTTGGGCATCCAGAAACTTTCCAAGACCACGTCCTAAGTTCAAGAGCAGTTGCAATATGAGGCGTGGAAAGATTATCCATGGACCCATGAAATTATCAATCCTTGATATTTTGAAACATTAAACAAAGGTATTCATCACATGGGACTAGAGACAATTTTTCATTCATTCATTTATTCATAAATGAAATAGGAACAAAGGAGCCTTTACAATTCCTGGTTTGTACATGCAACCTAATCAACGATGGGCAAAAAATGCTCATCCAACCTTGAGGTATGAATTCAAATGAACCCATGAAAGTCACTACATAGGCTATGAAACCATTCTGTTTTTCCATGTTGGAACCTTTATTCCTCAGTCATGCTCTCAGCTGTGTCTTTACTGATCAAATGGACACCCACCATTGAGGAACAGAACATCGCTTTGAAATCCCATCCAACTGATTTCCCCTTAAGTATTGAATACCACCTCATCACAGCTGGAATTTGAAAGGCCTCAGCCCTGTTCTTCAGTCAATGCCTCTCCTCTGTTTTCAATAGCTCAGGAAAAATGCTGCCCTTGAGAAATCAAGCTGAAAGTAAGTGAAGGTCCAGAATAAATAGAATCATTGTTTAGGAACCAGCAGGAGAAGAGAAAAATAAAACCTTTCATTTTCTACTTCCCACTGGGGCCTGGTAGAAGGTTGGGTTATTTTTATCAAATATATATTGAAAATCAGTGTAACACAGACAGTTGGGGCTGTGCCTGCCGCTCATCAAGTCAAATGACCATGTTTATATACAGGGTGTCCCAAAAGTCTTGGTGCAGTTTTAAGCATTAATAGTCTCAGCACTTGTAAAAGTGATCTATACAGCATTTGCAGCAGGGAGAGAGTCAAACAGCATCAAGAAGATGAAGGTTCAAGTCACTGTTTATGTGACTTTGAATAAATCTCTTAACCTCTCAATACGCTAGGCAGAGACTCCAAGTTGAAGAATAGTTACTGATCTGTACCAGTGAAGGGAATTTCTTCACCAGAAGCTCTCTACACTGCTGAAATAAGAGCGTCCAGCCAAAAAAGGCAGAAAAGTAACATAAGATTAGGAGACATACCTTCCAAAATAAGGTAATATTTCTCTCTTTCTCCATCGGATCTTCATTAATGACTCCCCAAAATTCAGGTCCTCTGATGGGAGCTATAAGACGATAGATAAGAGAGGATAATGGTATAAACATCTATTAGGGAAGGACATTTTTCAACCACACACACCTGCAAAGTGTTCAGGATGCACTGATAACGTCTGTGCCGACCTTTTATATCCATGACAACCGTGTAGGCAGGATTGCTCCAATTACTCCAATATCCCAGATCATCAAGCCTCTTACAGCGAACCTGAGCTGCATAGACTGTGCAGAGATCCAGAACCTGGAAGCTGGCAGATTTGGATTCAGAACCATAAACTTGATGTACCTGTAAAATAAGTCCGAAAAAGTGGAGTGATCACTGCCCACCTGCTATGCTGATTCCCTTGAATCTGAAAGGATAGTTAAAGCAACTCCACCAGGTGTAACAGCACAGATTATCCCCGAGGGCTGAAGTGCACTTCTGCCCCTTAGAGTGCTTAGTTCCCTTCTAGACTCAGCTCGGGTGCCTCTTTCCAACCTGAAGTCTTTCCTGCTGCCCTCTTTGGCACAGTGGATAGAGTTCTGTACTCAAAGTTAGAAAGACCTGGGTTCAAATCTTACATATACAAGCTGTGTGATCCAGGGAATGTCGATTAACATCTATGGGCCTCAAGAAATCCCTTAACCCTTACTTACTAAGTCATAGATTAATTGGAATCTGCAGTGGGGGTCCCATTCAGAGACTAGGAGTTTCCTATGCTGACTTCTTAATGTAGACTTTTTTTGTAAACAGCATTACATTTTTTTCCAATTACATGTAAAGATAGTTTCCAACATTCATTTTTATAAGATTTTGTATTCCAAATTTTTCTTCCTCCCCTCTCCCTAAGACAGCCAGCAATCTGACAAAGTTTATACATGGGTAATCATGTTAAACATATTTCCACATTTGTCATGTTGTAAAAGAAGAAACAGAACAAAAGGGGAAAACCATGAAAAAAAACATAAAAAGTGAAAAATAGTATACTTCAATCTGTATTCAGACTCCATAATTCTTTCTCTGGATGTCGATAGCATTTTCTATCAGCAGTTTTTTGGAATTGACTTGGATCACTGTATTGCTGAGAAGAGCTAAGTCAATCATAGTTGATCATGGCACAATGTGGCTGTTACTGCGTACAATGTTCTCTTGGTTCTGCTCACTTCACTCAGCATCAATTCATGTAAGTCTTTCCAAGTTCTTTTTTTTTTCTGAAATCTGCCTGCTCATCATTTCTTATAGCATAATAGTATTCCATTACATTCATACACCACTTGTTCAGCCGTTCCCCAATTGATGGGCTTTCCCTCAGTTTCCAAGTCTTTGCCACTACCAAAAGAGTTGCTATAAATATTTTTGTACACGAGTCCTTTTCTCTATTTTATAATCTCTTTGAGATATAGACCTAGTAGTGGTATTGCTGTGTCAAAGGGTATGCATAGTTTGATTACCCTTTGGGCATAGTTCCAAATTGTTCTGCAGAATGGTTGGATCAGTTCGCATCTCCACCAACAATGCATTAGTGTCCCAATTTTCTCACATCTTCTCCAACATTTATCATTTTCCTTTTCTGTCATATTAGCCAATATGATAGGTATGAATTGGTACTTCAGAGTTGTTTTAATTTGCATTTCTCTAATCAATATTGATTTAGAGTATTTTGCATATAACTATAGTTAGCTTTAGCTATCTGAAAAGTGCCACTTTGTATCTTTGACCATTTATCAATTGGAGAATCATGTGGCCTTTCCATCTACTTATCCATGCACAGTTTGTATCCTTTCTCTAGAATATATGTTCCTTAGGAGCAAGGATTGGTTCCTTTTTTCTATGTATCCTTAAAGCCTGGCACATAGTGAATAATAAATTCCAGATGTATTGTATGGAATCAAATCATTGCTGAGACAGCATGAATCCACGTTCTGGTGTCAGTTATTTACTGATTTCTGGATCAAAGAATCTCAAGGTTGCCTATTGGCCTCCAGGTCATTCACTCTCCTTTCTCAAGACTCAGGCATGTGGTTTACAGTCTTCTTCTCATGGTAAGCGGGGTCATAGAACAATTAATTGACAACGGCTTTTCCTGTATCAAGTAGTATTGATTTGATTCCAGTTTTCTGAGCAATAGTTGGAATGGTGAATGGAGAATGTGCCAACAAAATGACAGAAAGCTGTCTACAAAGGGTAGTTTTGTGACTGATGACCAATGTAGATAAACTAGCACTTATCAGTTGAGTTGCCAGTGCTAGAACTAAAGTCTGGTTGGGAAAGTGCAAAGGCAGCAATGTCTAGAAAATACAATTACCTCTAAGTGTTCCATTTCCACAGCTGAGTTCGGAACCCTCTCTCAGACCATTACCTCTGTTCTTCTATCTCTTCCTGTGCCTCACCCATCCATCCCTCTTACTCCAATTCTTTGGCCCTCCTATAAACTCCACTTGTTTTCCTGGGCCATCAAAGGGTTATTGGGAGGCTCAAATGAGATAACGTATCCAGAGCATTAAATCACTATGTAATAGTGGCTATTACGATTACAGAATATTTCCTGACCATGGCATACTAATAAAATGGTCAGTTGAAGCCTAGCCAAATATTAATAGAATTGGAAGAGACCCAGAAATATTTTGGAATTATGTTCAGGCCACATGGGGGATAGACTGGAATTAATTTATTCAATAGTAAAATTCTTTGCCAGCTGTGGCCATTCAGTAATTGGACCTAGACCAGCATATAGCATGGGATGGTGAACAGGACTTCCTTGGTACAGAGAACTCCTTAAATGAGAAGATTCCCTCTACCAATGTAGATCAGTGACTTCTATGCAACTTAGAGCCTGAGGGAGTGGCCCAGAGGACTGAGAGGTCACTGACTTGCCTAGGAACAGTCAGCCAGCATCTATCAGGACTTAAATTCTGAAGCTATCTCTTCTTCCACTATTCTAGTGGTGCCCCTTGGCACACAGTAGGTTCTTAATAAATGCTTTTTGGTTAACTGCTCATTGATCCCTCAGTCTCTCCACTGTGCCTCACTGCCTCACTGTCATGAACTGAGTTGCCAGATGTGACCTTGGATTACCTATAATGCTCATGTTTCTAAGTATTTAGTTATTCATTTAGATTGAGCGGTTTACTTTTGCAGAAATCCCCTGAAAACACATGGAGTATATTCTTTCTTTTCCCTACTAAAATAAATATTATTCAATAGTATTCAATATCTTAATGATGAATAAATGAAACATTAATTTGACTTCAGTATAAATTGCTATCAAGGAAGATTAGTTATTTGTCCTAATGTTCAATAATGTTTCTTAACTTAATAAAACAAAAGAAAGAAACTAGTTTGGTTAGCAAATAATCATACCTTCCATCGTTCTCCATGTCCATTCACAGCATAACGAACTTGAAATTGAAGTTTATTCTCTGGTAAGACTGGCTTTCTCCAGCTCACACTCAACAAGCCAGTTTTGACCATAATTTCTGCATTCACTCTGGAGGGAGGCAGTGGTTTTACTAGAAATTTGAAGATAGTTCCCATTATTGACATCAATAAAAGCTCTAGAGCCCATTTATACAAAGAAATAGTCAATGCATTGAGTCACAGTGTCTAAAGAGTTAGTTTAAATGGGCTAGTTGAAGTCATCACTAATGAGAATGGATTGCTATAGAAATGCTGGTGATAGGCTCTGTTCTCTTTCACATACATTTGTTGTCCTCCTTCCAGTTACTCACACACACACACACACACACACACACACACACACACACACACACACTTCTGTATAACAGGCTTTTGAAAGCCTGAGATCTAATCACAGGAAGGGGTTGGACAATGAGATCGTAAATGACTGATGAAAGAGGTTTCTAGACCAAAAGGTGTCTTTATGAGGTGCAAATTTGTCCCTTGAATGAATCAGAAAGGAAACAATGAAAGAGTATGTAAAATTATAAACCATGTTTCAGAATAACCTCTAAAAGTCAATTCTCGAAGTCCAAAAAATGGACTCAAAGAGGAACTTACCTCCTCACGGAAAGAGAAGAAACTTGGAATTAGAGAAAGAGAAGGTGGAGGAAGCCACAAAGGCTGAGAGTGGAAACATAGGCAGGAAAGGAAGGCTTCGGGACTCAGGAGACCGACCTACTTGGGGTTTTTGAGTGAGTATGTGGGGACAGAAGGCAAATTGTTAATTTCCACTATAAAACCCAAGGTTCTTGTCCTCTGTCTCCTTTCTCTCCTAGAGCTCTCTAATGAGAAGCAAGAGTCTTTTCTCCTAGGCTTAGGAATAAGGGAGGGGAGAGGAATTGTTTACCTTTCTTTCTTTTCAACGTTGACTCAATCTTCAACAGTGCTAACCACCAGCGTTGGGGATATACTTACTGGAGATGAAGTCGAGAGGAAGCTGCTGAGGTGGGCAACATCCCCAGACAAAAGATAGACATAGTTCAAACAGTGAGATGTTTTGCCAGAAGTGGGGTCTGTGGCTGGCAATTTGGGGCTAACAAAAATAAAACGAGAATGGGGGACAGGCAATAAAAATACCCCAAGTAGAAAGATGGAGTGTTTCTTTGGGGAACAGCCCAGAGGCCAGTGTCACTGGATGAAAGAATAAGAGGACGGGTAATCTTGGGGCCTGGGGTTAGTCGTAAAGGGCTTCAAATGCCAAACAGCATTTTGTGTCTTATCCTCGAGGTGATAGGGAGCCACCAGAATTTATTGAGTGAGGTGAGGGGAGGGTGACGTGGTTGGACTTGTGCCTTTGGATTGCATGTATTGACATGGACAAGGCAATTATTTTTCTTGTTTTTATTTCTTTTCCTTCCTTCCTTTTTTCTTTTTCTTTTTTGGCTGGGGCTCTGTTGGTCTCTTTATCTTAGCAATACTTTTTATCAGTCAAGTTTCATTAAGAGATGGGAATAGAGTCAATGTCCTCACTTCAGACCACTGTCAGATCCGATAGCTTGTTTAAGTATGCTGGATTGAAAGATGAAGCTGTTATGATTGGTTGTAGTGGCTGGTTCTCATCTTAAAAATTTCTCCTAATTTCAAGCCAGTTTTAATGGATTTTTAATTCTGGAGCTCTTAGGCCTTTTTGGGATCATGAACTCCTTTGGCAGTCCAGAGAAACTCATGGAGCCCTTGCCAAAAGAGTGTTTTTAATGCATAAAATAAAGTATACAGGGTTACAGAGAAAATAATTTATAATGAAATATAGTTATCAAAGTATGTATTTGTTGTTGCTTTTGCTGGGGTACCTAGGTGGTGCAGTGGATAGAGGGCCAGGCCTGGAGTCAGGAAGACTCATCTTCAGCAGTTCAACTCTGGTTTCAGACATTTACTAGCTGTGTGACCCTGGGCAAGTCACTTAACCCTGTTTGCCTCAGTTTTTTCATCTGTAAAATGAGCTAGAGAAGGAAATGGCAAACCACTCCAGTATCTTTGCCAAAAAAGGGGAAGAGATGTCATGAACAGTCAGACATGACCGAAATGACTAAACAACAGCAAAATATATATTTATATTATACTACATACTACAATATAATTGAATACATAATACAATATAGTTGAAATATAGTTATCAAAGTGTATATACACACACATATATAGAACTATATTACATATATAATTACATAATAATGCAAATAATCTATAATAAAATTTACATATATATATACATACATACACACAAATAGACATTCACATATACATACACACATACACACATTCATGCATATGTGCATGTATGCACAACAGTTTCATGAACCCCAGGTCAAGAATTCCTACTCCCATCATTTTCTGCTGAGTTAGCATTGTAAAGTCCTCTTTTCCATCTACCAAATTCCAACTTGGATGACTTCTGTCTATTGTAATCCAGGGTTTTAGCCAGAGGGCACAGTCAACAGAAGAGTAGATCTGGGGTTGGGAAAATCTGCCTTCAAATCCTGCCCAGATACTATTAGTGGTGTGACGCTGAACAAGTCACTTAACTCCCTCTCCATCTCAGTTTCCTCATCTATAAAATGAGGCTAATAATCGCACCTACTTCACGGGTGGTTGTTAGGGTAAATGAAATAACTTGTCGAAAGTGCTTACAAACCTTTGGGTACTATGTAAACGCTAGCTATTATTATAATAATTAATTATTGCTATTATTATCTTTTTCACAAGAATAGAATGATACTATATCACATGCCTTGCTAAAAATCTCCTGCATTTTTATGACCTACCAGTTCTGCAACCCTGTCCATAAAAGGAATGAATCAATCAATAAACATTTATTAAGCACCTACTATGTGCCAGGCACTGTGCTAAGTGCTGGAAATGGAGTTAGTCTGGCATGACCTTTCTTGATGCTGCTAGGCTGGTTCTTTGTGATCGCTGCTTCCTTTTCAATAACCATCTCTTTAATGATACATTCTAAAGTTCACCAGAAATCAAAGTCAATCTCACTGGTTTATGGTTTGTAGAGTCTGTTCTTTTTTTTTTTCTTTTTTGAAAAATTGGGATATTTGCTCTTCCCTAGTTCTGTAGGGTTGATCCTATTTCCCGTGATCTTTGAAATATCATTGATAAAAGCTCTGCGGTCACATCTGCCAGATCATTCAGTCCTCAATATAATTGGTATGGACAATGACTTGAATTCATCAAAGGTAACTAGTTACTTATTTGCTTTCTCTTTAACTTTTCCTTTTATCTTGGGTATTGACATATATGTATATGTATATGTATGTATATGTATATATATATATATGTATGTGTGTATATGTATAATATATATATACATATATGTATGTGTGTATATGTATAATATATATATGTATATATGTATGTATATATGTATATGCTTTCCTCTCTTTCCAATTCACAGATCATCCTCCTTGGCAGAGAGAAAGAACTAAAAAAAACCTGAGCCTTGAGTGGCTTTGAATTCTGTTGCCATAATAGAGTCAATGTCTTTACTTATATCAGTTTCTCACTCATTCTGATCTTTGGCACACTGGATGTTATTCTTACAGTACCTTGTTACTTTTTGTATTCATCCTTTATTACCTGCTCTCGCTTCCAACTTTCATATGTGTGTCTGTGTGTATGTGTGTGTGTCTGTGTATATCTTTGTATGTATATATACTTAACAGTGATTTTCCTATTCACCCACTTGCTATGTTCTTCCCTTTTTTCTACTCATGAGAAATGTTACTCTTTATGTCTTCAGAATTTCCTTCTGGAGAGTTGCCCATCATTAGGCACCTAGTAGCCAAACTGCTGGTGATGTCTCTTCTTACTTAGCCAGGCTGGTCCTAAAGCCCACAGAGCCTGTCATCAAAACTCATTCCAACTTGGAAGGACATTTCAGAGCTTCCACTGGTCTAGCCTTCAAGAACCCACAGTCTGTGCCATAGCACAAAGAATGTACTAGAATGGGAGATGTACAGAGGAGAACTGAGCCTAATATCATTTCATATTTTTTGTGATATAAAAATTTCAGTTGAAATGTATGTATATGTGTGTGTGTACATATATATATACACACACACTTATCTAATATATGTTCATATGTATATATAATGTGCATGGACATGTAGAGATAATATATACATGTATATGTAAACTAATATATATGGGTTAGATACATATATTCAATCCAATTTTACAGGCTAAAAATGCTTTATAAAGTGAATTGGAGGCAACATGGTAAATTGGAAAGAGTGACACATTGAGAGTAAGGTGACTTGAGTTCAAATCTCATCCTTCCCACTTTCCATTCATGTGTCCTTGAGCAAATCACCTAATTTCTCTAGACCTCAGTTTCCCAATCTGTAAAATGAGGGGGTTGGACTAGATGCCCTCTGAAGTCCATCCCAGCTCTAAATCTGTAATAGTGAACATACACAAACACATGTGTGTATATACATACATATGTGACCGTATAAATATATTTGGAATAACTAACAAATTTTGTTTTCAGAAATTAATCATCCATTGTGTAACATAATAAAAATAGACCCTTTTCAGCATCAGGAGTGCTATATAATAAGCCATTCCTCTCTAGGACATGTTGTGCTGGTTTATAACAAAATAAGACTGTAAAATTTTAGCTACACTGATGCCCTCTCATTCTGAGCACAGTCATAAATCTTTCCAGGGTGTTGTGTGAATAGAAAATGGCAAGGCGCAATCACGATCATCCACCACTCTGCCCCCTGCCACCCTACATTATACCCATCTTAATAGAATATCTCAGATAAAGGAAAACACACACATAAAACAACATGACATACCTACAGAATCTGGAACAATGCAAACTGGGGGAGATTCAAGTGACCCCAAGGAGTGGATTATCTGTATCCACATGGTGTACCCAGATAGAAGAAAGATGGGCTGAAAGGTGCATTCATAAAAGCCATCCTTGTGTAAATGACAGTCTTTGGGGTCTGAGGCATGATGAGTAGTTGGAAAGTCAGAACAATATAGGCTGCTCCTAAAAAGGTATAAAAGCAATTAATTAGGATCCTTTTAGGTTACAACTTCAATAAAAATAAAAAATAAAAAAACACGCAAAAACATGAAGGCTTCTTTAGAGAAAATCAAGCTTCTATCACATCTAAAGGGAAGCTAGGCAACCTTTTTCCATTTATTAAATTGATCTTCCAAGTAGGACACTTTTTAAAATCCCAGCTATATCATAATCTAACATTTCCTAATGGAAACAGAAATGTTTACTAGGTGCTTCACAGAGGTGAGTAGGGTCAGGCATACAAAAGAGGACACAGCACCCAAACCTTACAAGAGTTTGAAGTTAAGGTGAAGACAAAATATATAAATATAAAGGAAATAAACACTAAGAATTCAGTGACTAGTATAAATTATTGTTTTTTAAAACATTTATTAGGGGCAGCTAGATGGCGCAATGGTTAGAGCTCTGACCTTGGAGACAGGAGGACTTGAGTTCAAATCCAGCCTCATGCACTTAATACTTACCAGCTGTGTGACCCTGGGAAAGTCACTTAACCCCAATTGCCTCACTAAAAAAGCAAAAAAAAAAAAAAATTGAGTAACTGCCAGATACTAGGAGCTGTCCTAGGTGCTGGAGATACAAAGTCAAAGGTAAAACAACTCCTGCTTTCATGAAACTTAAGTTCTACTGGTAAGATACACAGAGAAGTGTAAACAGAGAAGTAAATACAAGGTCAATTGATGAAGGAGGAAGCACTAACTAACAGGGCATTCAGAAAGGCTTTTTATAGAAGGTAACAAATGAGTGAGCCTTAAAGGAAGCGCAAGATGGATTCTAACAAGTAAAAGTAAAGAGGTCACTAGGTGGTACAGTGGCTAGAATGCTGGATCTAGAATCAGGAAGGGCTGAGTTCAAATCCTTACTCAGACATTTTCTAGCTGTATGACTCTCTCACTTGCTCTTTCCACTGTATCACAACATCATCCTTTTCACCTTAGTGCTAACATCCCAGGCTGTTCTGATGCCTTGGAAATTTCTGTTTTGGCTTCTCCTTTCTACTTACCAAACCTCTGAGAATTTACTTTCTTTATGCAGCACAGTGCTGGGCACATAGTAAATAAATATTTACTGACTGGCTGAATATTTATTGCTCATGCCCTATAGCACCCAACCCAGTGCTAAGAACACAATAGGGACTGAGTCAGTTGGTCACTGAATATTAGAAACCTTTGAGGAGTAGTAGTGTATAAGAACATGAACTGCCAGCACACTGCTGATTACCTAGGGATCTGAAATCAGTCACCTGAAATCCTTCCCATCCTTTGAGACCCAGTATAAATGCCACCTTTCCCAAGACAACGTCCCTGACCTCTCCTGCCAGAAATGAGCTCTCTTTCCCTGAATTCCCATTGGTTATTCCCCTTTTATAGTCTTTATCACTCACTACCTCATACTTTAGTCTTGGGTGTATGTTTTCTTTTGTCTACTACAAAGTAAGTTTTTTTAATAGATGTTATTATATCTTTATGACCCCCATAATACCTACTAAAGTAACTTGGATATAGCAAGAACTTGATAACTGTTTCTGAATGAATGAAAAATCAAAGTCCCCTCAATTTCCCTCAAAAGGAAAATTTTATTTCTGTATTTTTCATATATATACACACATATGTATATATGTATACATATATGCATATATATACACATATACATACACACACATATACATATGGTTCAGAATATATATATGGGCAGCTAGGTGGTGCAGTGGATAGAGCACTGGGTCTGGAGTCAGAAAGACCTAGATTGAAATCCAGCCTCAGACACATACTAGCTGTGTGACCTTGTGTGCCTCAGTTTCCTCATCTCTAAAATGAGCTGGAGAAGGCAATGACAAACCACTCCAGTATCTCTGCCAAGAAAACCTCAAATGGGGTCAAGAAGAATCAGACATGAAAGAAACATCTGAACAACAACAAAATATATTCTGTGTATTTCTGAAAGTATGAATCTGTGAGCTAGATGCCATGCAGACTGGGGAAGACTAAAGAACATTCAAGGTTGGGGACCACTTGCAACAAGTGAGCCACTTGCCTTTCAATGATTTGATGTACAGTATTTGAGAGCTAGCATGGTCAACTAAGTTTCTAAAGATCATAGGGTCATAGGCTCAGAGGCCATTGAGCCCAACTCCATCATTTTACATATGAAAAAACTGAGGTACCGAATAGTTAAGTGATGTGCCCATGGTAATATACTGTCTTTGGTAGGATTTGAACACAGTTCTTGACTCCAAGTGCAGAATCCTATCCAACCATCCTACTTCTTCTCTTAAGCTCATCCCCCAGGAACCAACCTTTAATGGACCTCCTTGAACTTCAACTATAATATGCCCTTAAACTGTAGTCATATCATCCATCTTTGGGCATTTCCAGCCTAGTAAGATACACCTGGGCTTGTGTTCTATTGATTTTGGGACCTAGGATCATCTCCAAATCATGGAGAAGAATAGGCAATCATGACAAAAAATATTCTTCTGTTTTTTACTGTGAACCAGGAAGTAATTTCTTTATTAATTATTGCTCTAATGATTGTCACAAGGCTGTACTTCCCATTGCCCCTCAAACTTCCCCCAAACCCTGCCCCATGAAAATCATACACACCTGAAATATCTTAACTGCAACATACTTCCCAGGAGTGATGCAGCTGTGTTGGCTGGCCATCTGCAAGTCATTTTAGTTAAGTACCCATCAGTTTCACATGAGATATTGATATTGACATCTATTTAAAACACATTAAAATATTAATATAAAGAGAAAACAGAACACACAAATTATGTGCAAAACAAAAATGTTCCTTAGTTCTTAACTAAGCCTCTACAAAAGGGTCCATGTTGAACAATCGGCAGGCAGAATGCAGTAAATTTGAGAGAGGCTGCTTACCTATTACATATAATTCTGCATAGCGGTGATGGCACTCATTCTCCTGACAGCAATACACAGCATCATAGGTGTATTTTCCTCTAGGTTTAGTTGCATTCATGTTGAGAAGGGTGACCCTGCTCACATGGGCATTCATAACATCATAGTGACTTGGGGGGATTTTCTCTGCTAAATTCAACCACCAAAAGACATTCTTGGAAGGGATGATCTTGTTTTGATGCTTGTAGATGCAGTGAAAGGATGCATTAGACCCAACACTTGTCAGAATTTTCGGTGGAAAATATATGACCTCTATAGGGTAGGGAAAAAAGAGAATATGTGATATTAAAAATCTCTAGAAAAGATTAATCTCAAATATTTGTGCAATGTATATTGCCATCCAAATGACAAGATTGTCATCTGACATAAAATGGGAAATTTAAATATTGAAAGAATTCTGCTTAATTCTTCCTAAATTATACTTGCATGCTAAATTTCATGTCCTGGACATCCATATAAGGATAATTTTTGAAATGATGTCATGGAAGAAATGAGAGGGTAGATAACTGGGCTGAGTGCCCCAGTATAATGTCTCTCCTGAACAACTATCACGCTAATAAATTTCTTCACCCCTTATTAATGGAGAATGGTAAGACCTGTCGATCACAATCCCCATCTACTTGCAGAGGTTCCAAATCACAGAATCTGAGTCTAAAGAGATCTTAGGTCATATATTTCAATCAGTATATGTTGGACACAACCTCAGAAGGACTGACTTGGGCATAGCACTTAAGAAAGCTTAAAGGATTCCATAAGTTGTATCACCATTATGCTGCTGTCACAATCAAGGCTGAACCTAAATTGAATAATTTCTCCATTTCCTTCCAACAGCTGTGGTTATAGTAAAGGAAATATTTCTGCCCTGAAATAAACTATGTACATTAAGCCTTATGTTGTCAAAATATCTACTTTGGAGAACCCAAAATTACTTATTGCCTTTTCTAAAAGACTACTTTTTGCCGGAATGGTTTGACTTCTCATACCTCTTCATATTTCATTATTATCCCTATTTCTCCTTGCCCTAAATTCCTATAATATATTTCCCACATGGAAAACACATTGCTTCTGAGTAATAGAAAACATTTTCCAATTTTACACATTAAGAAATGTAACATTTGTGGGGCAGCTAGGTGGCGCAATGGATAGAGCACTGGCCATGAAGTCAGGAGGACCTGAGTTCAAATCCAGCCTCAGACACGTAATACTTACTAGCTGTGTGACTCTAGGCAAGTCACTTAACCCCCATTGCCCAACAACTACAAAAAAAAAAACCAAAAAAACAAGAGCAAAAAGAAATGTAACATTTGTCCACCAGATATCTTAATAGTTGTTTTATGTAAAATTATAAAATATTTCTATTTGATTTTTATGGGCATGTCATTTTCAATTTTACCTGCCAGTTAATTTTTTTATTCTAATCATTCATCTGTTAATGAATGAGTTAATGCACTAATTGGCACATAGAAGGAACTTAATAAATATTTTTTTTATTCATTCATCAACTGTTTATCATTATTCTGAGGGACATACAACGGAGATCACCTACCTTTTACAGGAATTCAAAAGTAAACATGGGCTAGTAATAGTAATAAAGCAAATAAGCAAAAACAAAAAAGCCCTGTAATTCAAATTTGAGAGTTAAAAAAATGTACAAAAGAAGATAGTTCTGTGAATTAAGATGACAGAAAGATTACTATTAGCTAGGGAAGACTTTTTGAGGTGAATATTGAAGAGTAGAATTTCAAGGGTAAACAGACCCAGGATATGAAGGTTGTTGAGTCCTTTCAGTTGTGTCTGCTTCTTCATGACACCATTTTGGGGCTTTCTTGGCAAAGATACTAGCGTGGTTTGCCATTTTCTTCTTCAGCTCATTTTACAGATGAAGAAACTGAGGCAGAGTTAAGCAACTTGCCCAAGCTCATACAGGTGGTGAGCCTCTGAGGCCAAATCTTCCTGACTCCAGGCCCAGCACCACCTTGCTACCCAGGGTATGAAAAAATGGTATTGGATTTCCCCAGACTAAGGCTGTAACTGCTGCCTTCCTGGCCCTACAGCTCAGCTGCGTTGCATCGTTGCTCTGCAAACAGCAATGGGAAAGTATTTAGCTTGATCTGAGTACACAAAGTCATCCACCAGTGGGGCTATTATAATGGACTACGAATACTGACTGGTTTGAAGTAGGAGAGTGCTAACGGGTAGTGGGAATAGTGATAAGGAGAAGGATACAAGAAACATTACGGTGACATATGGACTCAACAAACACACATCAGAAAATTTTGATAAATTAAGTCCTAGATGTCTTCAGTTTAGACGTGAAGATGTTTTTGTTTTTGTTTTTAATTTTTTAACGTTTAAAAGTAAAGCTTTGATTAGAGTTGATTGGGATAATGAAAGCTCATTTGTACATTTTAAAAGGTTATCCTTTGAGATTTTTAGAAGCTGTTCTGTATGTACTGTGGAATAATGAAGTGTGTTCGAGGTAGGTCAACAATCTCTCATGTCTGTGATAGGTGCTTCTTTGCTGGAAATAATGTACAAATGTGATTGGAGTACCCCCTATTTTAGAGTTAAACCCCTCCACTCTAATGGACTGGCTTTTCCCCTATTTCATTTTGTTCTGCTAGTATAAGTTGGTTCCCACTCCCATTTGGCTATAAAATTAGACAATTCAAATATCCCTGAATTACCTGTCAAAATAGAATGGAAATATCTAAAGTTAGCAAGGTCATTAGTTAATGAACACATAATGCTGAAACTAAATGGCCAAACCTATCATGAATAGGTCAACCAAAAAACATTTACTAAGTGCTTACTATGTACCAGGCACTGTGCCAAGCTTTGGAAAACAAACAGAGTTATGCTGTAGAAATCAGGTGGAAGATGTATAGACAAGCCTTTCTTCGTATTCCCCAGAACTTAGCACAGTGTCTGATACATAGAAGGTGCTTAATAAATGTTTGTTGAATGACAGGTTGGATCTGATAGCAAAAAATCTTGACACATCAATGGAGCAAGGGTGTTGCTCAATGGGCCACATCCCAAAAACAACCTGCATTTCTGTTGATCTGTTATTGCTATTGTTTGGCACTGAAAATAAAGGGAGTTTCACATTGAAAACCTGGGCTTGCACCAGATTTAAAGAAAATACAGCCATGCCAGGTTACAAATTCCTAGTACTGAAAGTAGAGAACGTTTCATTTTAGTGGAATAATAATGTTTGTTGATTTATTTTTTTAATTGACAGGAGGTCACGTAGTGAGATTTTTTTAGAGCATTTCTTTCAAAGATGTAAGATACAAGAAATTTGAATATTTTATTTGAATAGTCATAATATTTATTATTCCCCAAAGCAAAAACTATTCTCATCCAAATGTTTTATAATTTATCCAGTTTCTTTCTAAGAAAAACTCTGAAAAAGTTAGTGTGAATACAGTACTATTAACCTCAAGGGAGAAGGAACTCACTACCATCGATGGTGACCCATTCCACTTTTAATGAGCTTCAGTTTCTTCATGTGGAAAATGAAGAAGTTAACCTAGTGAACTCTAAGGGTTATCCCAGCTCAAAATCCTATGACCCCAATAATCACAATAATACTACCCAACTTCCAGCAAAGTATGAACACAGCTTAGTTTCCATGCCTTCTATAAAAAATACCCTCACTGTTGTAACTGAAAGAAAAAAAGCAGACTGAGAAAGTCGAAAGTCCTTAAAGGCAGAATTGATGAGAAGAAATCATTGTAGCAGCAAATTAATATATGTGTATATGTAGATATAGATATATGTATGTATTATGTATATATGAATAAATGAACGAATGACCATACAGGAACGGCAGCTTCAAAAGTTCTGTGTTTAACTTGTTATATACTTTAAAAGAAAAACAAGCGGTAGTTTTATATACAATTTTTCTGCTCTAATATATAGACAGATAGATGATAGATAGATAGATATGGAATTTTATTTTTTGTTTGTTAAGTTCAGAATAAAAATTATCTTTAAAAAATATATTAAAAGAAATTATTGAAAATCACACAAGTGAATATAGTCATTTGAAAACAGGAATTAAAGATGCACTAAGTATGCCAATAACAGTCTAAAATTTAGGTTTTTTATCTTGTTTTTCAACTCTTCTTTTTTCCCTTTGAAATTATTTTAATATACAAATTTCATGAATGAAAATTATGAATGAATCCAAAGTCCAAAAAAAGTGAGACACCCATGATAACATTCTCTTGTCTTAATCTTTAGGCTTTATTTCCAAAACATACTGCAAATTTCAATAACACATGTGTATTCATTTAAGTGTAACATACCCTGAGTTTTTAAAATTTATAATGATACAAATAATTTTCCCCCTTCAATTTGACACCCATTTTGTAGGGGGCAAGGGGAAAGGGTGGACCTGTGACTTTCTTAGTTTAGCTAATTTCTGCTGCAGAAATCTCTACCAATGCAAATGAATAAGTCTTTTATAACTTACAGTCTTAGAGAGTTACCTAGACCATTGAAAGTTTAAATATATTGCCCAAAGTCACATAGCCAATATGTGCCAATTTAGGCTTAATATCAAGAAAAATCTTGCTATCAGAGCTATCCCAGAATAGAACGAGCTTCCTTAAGGATTAGTGGGCTCTCCCTTCTTGGAGGTTTCCAGGCCAGAGTTGTATGACTCCTCATCAGGTATTCAATAATGAGGATTCCTTTTTGGTGGGGGTTAGAAAATACGGTCACCAAGTCCCTTCCAATTCAAAAATTCTATGATTCTATGTCAGGTAAGACTTGAACCCAGCTCTTCCCAACTCCAAGACCAACATTCTATCCCCTAGGTCACCTCATTTCTTGAGTTCACATTTGCTACCATGAAATCCCAAGTATTTATGAGAGAGAGAGAGAGAGGGAGAGAGATCCCCAAAATCTACTCCCCAACAATCAGAAGCAAAGATGCACCCTATACGCCAGCAACATACCTGGGGTGGTGAAGTTGGAAGGAGTGCTCCAATCACTCCAGGCTCCTGGGCCTTCCAGCCTCTTGCCCCGTACCTGAACTGTATATGAAGAACCAGGTAGCACATTGTCCACGAGCAGGGAGGTATCTAGTACAATCGCAGCAATCTGCTAAATTTCATTTAAAAAGTCAAAACACCACACATAACGGGATTGCTAATGAGAACCTGAGTTTGTGGAAGCCTCCTCAAGCTGACATTTTGCCACATTCTCCTCTATTCCCCTACACTTTGGTTTGTATTCCTTATGACTGGTGGCCTTGACCAACAGATGTTTATTTATTCCCAATTATGTCCAAACCCTATGGCCCCTGCCCCCACTCCCTAATATTTCTAATGAGATTTCAATATCCATTGTGCCAATTAGCCTCCAACTCACAGGCTAACACCTGTTGTTTGACTAATTTTAAGACAGATCACTGTTGCCTGGCTAGGGACCTCCAGTAAGTTACACGGGCTGATAAGTGATCAGGTATATCTCTTTAAGTCTGCTAATCTGAGCCACGGGGAGAGAGAATCATAATGCAATGAGAAGAATGCTGCATTTGGGGTCAGAACATCTGTATTCTAATTCTGGTTTTCTCATTTATTGTTGGTTGCTTACCCTCTCTGGGACTCAGTTTTCCTCATCTGAGGTAGATGACCTCTAAAGTTCCTTCCAGCTCTAAAGTCATAAGCTTAGTATCACATGACCTTTTAATCTATGAGCTTATGAAACTCACTGTCAAAGGTTACAGGACACACAGCAAGTCTATAAGCTTTGCTTTGGGATCACCTTGAGAAGGTGTCAGGGAATAATGCAAACTTCATAGTTCAGCAAAGATGAAGATATACTTAGATATACTCCATGACCATAGTGAGTTGCATGCTTCTGAAAGTTCTCACAACATGAGTATCAGATGCTGAAAAAGCTTTAGGGGTTTAAGAGCTCTTTCTTTTGAGGGACCATTTTAATCTCATCTCAAAGGTAACATACAGCTCTCCTTGAAATCCCCAGGATTTAATTTTCGTGAATTGCATAGTAAAATAAAATGCATACCTGTCCCATGGTCTCAGTTGACTTTACAGAGTATTTCACTTCATATTGAAGTTGATATGGCACCAACAGTGGGCTAGACCAAGAGATCTTTAATTTTCCATCATCTGTTATTTCCATTAGCAAATGCAATGGTGGGTCTGGCTTCACTTTAAAAAAAATAATAATATTTCAAGTCAGGCTTCAGTTTTTCAATAGAAAGGTCAGTAGAAACATTGGATTTTATATCAATGGAGTAGAGTTTGAATCTCTCCTCTGACACCAGCAATGTTACCTTGGGCAAGTCACTCTCTCCCTGGGTCTCCATTTTCTCCTCAATTAAATTAGAAAATTGGACTAGGTGATTTCTCAGGTCTCTTCAGCTCTAACCCTATGAGACCATGAACTAAATCTGATTTTTAATAGTTGCAGAGGAAGTATCAGAGAGCTGAAGTGGTATATGACTCAGAGTCAGGAGAAAGCCAGAGATCAATGATAATTAGGTAGATAGATCAGAGATATAGATAGATGATACATGATTGATAGAGATAGATGATCAATAGGTAGACAGACAGACAACTCAGCATTAGACATTGTACCATCATGCTAGCTTCTGGAGATACTAGAACAAAACAAAAATCAGATCCTTTCCTGAAGGAGCTTAAATTCTACTGGGAGAAAAAGACCCAAAACTGGTTAAGCCCATAGACACAGAAATCCCATGATTGAGAACCTTCAACATTGCACAGATATATGATATCATCAGCATGGGTAATGCAGTATCCTAACAATGCAGATCATAATTCCTCCTAAAGGTATTATCTCCATAAGCCTGCATAGTCATTCAGACACAGATGCTAGATTGAAAACATAAGAGGGGCAAGTCCTGGTTTGCTTTAAAAAAAAATCAATCACTCTGTCAATCAATAAACAGGTATAAAGCATCTACTGTGGGCTAGGCACAGTGCTAGGAGGTGAGGTTACAAAGGCAAAGACTAAAATGATTCTGGATTTCCTGGAACTTACTTTTCCATGCTATTGAATTTTCTTCCTAAGTGCTGAGTGCAGAGGTTCATAACCTGGGGTCTGAGGAACTTTTTGTTTGTTTTTCTTTTCTAACATTTTGATAATTGTACTTCATTGTTATTGGTTTTTTAAATTCCTATACATTTTCTCTTATTCATTTACAAACATGATGTGAGAAAGGGCCCATAGGTTTCACCAGGGGTCTGTGATACCAAAAAATGGCTAAGAACCCTGACTTAGTGATGTAACTGTAATAATAATAAGAGATCATATTTATGTAGAGCTTCAAGGTTTGTAAAGTGGAATAGGCTGTGGAAAAAGCAGCCAGAAAGGGAAGAGCTAAGTGAAGGATGGGTGGGAATTGTCTGAACATTTCCTGATTGATTGATCAGAAAACCCACTTCTGTATGGCCAGCTGACATGGAGATGAGCTCTTCCTCACTTAGGCAGGCTGGGCCTTGAGCATTGGCCATGCAATCCATCATGAGGCCTGTGCTCAAAACCTCCTCTGCTTGGTCGGAACTGCCAGAGCTCGAACACTATAAGTATAGTCTTCAAAGACCCAGGGCCACTTCCATGCCAAGGAGGATTTCAATGGAGATACCACAAAAAGCATAGAATTATAAATCTAGAGCTGGAAGGACCCTCAGAGATCAACTTGTTTGACTCACTTTACGGATGAAGAAACTGAGGCCCGGGAAGGTGAAATAATTCGCCAAAGGTCAAACAAGCAGTAGTAAGCAAAGATAGGAGTTGAACTCATATTGTCTGACTCCAAATCCAAGACTATTTTCACCACATTGCACTCAATGGATAAATTTGGACTTACATCAATCATTTATGGGTGACGGAGGGGTTACTGGTTGCACTGATGAAGGGAGTACCCACACTGATGAAATCTTATATCCTTGAAGTACTTTTCTATGAAGAGATCTGGCGACTTTACACTTACCAATATTTATAGGCTTCACAGACATCATGGGTGACTGGAGAAGTATGGTGCCATTTGTGATTTCCAGAAATATCAAGGAGACAGAGCTGAGTTTGGCTATGGGCATGGGCACATGGCATAAACAGTCTTTGGACTGACTACAATTGCACTGAACCACCTGAAAATTACCCTTCTGGGACACCATGGGTGAGTCTTCCTGTGATGCTTCTGACCTGTTATAAAATAAAAATATATGGATTGTTGTAGGCACTGTGTATTCCATCATCATCTGTGCCTCAGTATTCAAAGCAGGCATGAAGGTGAGGAATCCCAGCTTGATCTGTGCACCAGGCATGAACATCAGGGGAAAAGGGATGGGCACAAGTGTAAGAGACAATGAAGAATTCTGAGGAAACGTCTGTAAGATGATGCAGAATTCGGTAAGTAGAAGCAAGGAAACAGGGCAGAAGTACACAACTGTGTAAAAAGAAAGGACAGCAACATAGAATCTGAATGCTGTGTGGCTATAATAATCAAGCCTGGCCCCAAAGAAGAGATGAACAAATACACCTCCCTCCCACCTTGGCAGAGGAGGGAGACCATGGGTGTGGAACAAGGCAGAGACTAAGCTGCCGTTGTTTACTATTGCTGAACTGGGTTTTTCTTTGCTACAAGAAATGGCTCACTGGGTGAAAGAGGGAGAGATTGAAAATGAAGGTGATGTAAAGCAAAAAAAAAAAAAAAAAAGGCAATAATGAAGTCTTTTTTAAAAAGAAGACCAGTTATCTCTCTCTTCCTTTAAGATGTAGTTTAAGTGTAATCTTCTGCATGAAGTCCTTCTTGATTTCCCCAAATGCTGGTCCTTTCCTTCCCAAACTGTCCTATACTTCACCATTTTGCACAGATTTATATTTATTCCTTACATTTTAATACTGTATATAGGTATACACACACACACACACACTCACACACCATATACCCATTTTGGCTTTATCTTGGTATATGGTATGAAATGTTGGTCCATGCTTAGTTCCTGCCAAACTGCTTTCCAGTTTTCCCAGTATTTTTTTCAGATAATGAGCTCTTGCCCCAAAAGCTCGGATCTCTGAGTTTATCAAACATTAGGTTACTGTGGTCATTTTTCCTCTGTAATACTGCGTGCCTAATCTATTCCATTGATCAACCAGTCTATTTCATAGACAGTACCAACTTGTTTTTCCTTCATTCTTGAAGAAGACCAAAGTCCAACCAACCAACCAAATTGTTTTGGTGATTCTAGTTTTGTAGTGTAGTTTGAGATCTGGCATTGCTAGGCCACCTTCCTTCACTTTTTTTTCATTGATTCTCTTAATATTCTTGACCTTTTGTTCCTCCAGATGAAGTTTATTATCACTTTTCCAACTCTATAAAATAATTCTTTGGTATTTTAATTGGTATGAGAATGAATAAATAAATTAATTTAGGTAGTATTATCATTTTTTATTAAAATGGCTCAGCCTACACATAAGCAATCAATATTTCTCCATTTGCTTAGGTCTGTCTTTGTGTGAAGAGTATTTTGTAATTGTGTTCATATTGTTCCCATATTTGTCTTGGCAGGTAGACTCCCAAGAATTTTAAACTGTCTGCAATTCTTTCTAGCTCTTCTTACTGGGTTTTGTTGGTGATATATAGAAATTCTGATGATTTGGGTGGGTTTATTTTCTATCCTGCAACTTTGCTAAAGTTGTTCATTGTTTCAACTTTTTTTTTAGTTGATTCCCTAGGGTTCTCTAAATAAACCATCCTATTATATGTAAAGAGTAATAGTTTTGTTTCTTCATTGTCTATTTTTATTCCTTCGATTTCTTTTTCTTATCTTATTGCTATAACCATGAGCAAATCTCTTGGCCTCAGGTTCCTCATCTATAAAATGAGAGTGTTAGACTAGATGACCTCTAAGTTGTCTTTCAATTCTAAAAAAATAAGCTTTATACTTTTCTTCTATGGGAATCTACCATATCTTCAAGATATCATTTGTGTTTCTGTTTCTTTGTAAGTCTAAGATAGATAACAGTTAGCTTCTATGCAGCTTGGGAACCAAGCCACAGAGTTTATCCAAAAGGTCTTCTGAATGGCAATGACATGTCCTGCAGATTTGGTCTCAGAGCCACATAAGCTGATCCTTCATGCTTCATTCAATTCAGCCCATCATCAGTGACGAACTTCCCAAATGGATGTTTTCTAATTTAAATGAAGAATGAATGCTATATAACTTCAATATTTTTGTGTCAGAAACATTTGTGCAAGATATCACACCTTTATTAAGGAGCTCCACATTTTTAAAGAAAAAAAAAGTAACAGAAAAAGAATTGCAGAGTCAGAAGGGACAGCAGAGGCCATTTAGATCAACTCCTCTCTGATCCGGAATCCCCCTGTAACTTTCCCAAATGATTACCAAGTCTTTCTTTGAAGACAACCTTCCCTCTGAGGTTAATGACAATTTACTTCTGTATATCTTGTTTGCACTTAGCTGTTTCTATGGTGTTTCCTCCTTTAGACTGTGAGCTCCTCTTTGAGGAAAGGAGCTGGTTTTGCCTCTTTTTCATATCCCTAGTGCTTAACACAGTGCTTGGCACATAGTAGGTGCTCAGTAAATGCATGTTGACTGAAGATCTCCATTGAGAGGAAATCCAGTATCTCATGATGCAGCCCATTCCACTTTCCCATAGTTCTAATGGTAAGGAGAATCCATCAACTCTAGGGTTTGTCTTCTTGGACCAAGAATAATTTCATTTCCTTTTCCACATGAAAGACTTCTGAATACCTGAAGAGAGTTACCATTCCCCACCACTCTCTGAGCCTTCTCTTTTCCAGGATAAACACCCTCCCTTCCTTCACCTGATCCTTACCTGGCATAATCCCAAAGCTCTTTGTCATCTGGTTGACCCCTCCTTAGATAATTTCCAATTTACCAATGTCTTTCTCAAAATGTACCACCCAAAACCAAAGTGGTCTGAGCAAGACAGAGCACAGCTGGACGTATTACCTCCCTCCCTCAAGATACTAAGGCATAGAACTAGAGTAAAGACACAGAGCCAGGAGATGTGAATGCCAGAAAATTCTCTGGACTCTCTAATTACATGAAAAGTAAATCTTCAATCTCATTACATTAAGTTTTTCGTTGTTTAGGTAAAGTTGGTTGTCAACCTGGCCCTAGGTTCTATCTCACTATGACTACTTTCATCAAGGCAACCTTTTCACCAATCACTGACTTACTCAGACACACAAAGCTAGACAGCATCAATGTGAGACCCAAAACCAGGTTCTTTTGAAAGCATGTCCACTACACAAAGAATATTTCTAATCAGCTACTTACAGAACATACGAAAGATGAGCCTGAAATTCTGATGTCTTGGAAGAATTCTTAAACAATGATTCCAAATTACACATGAGTGTCTTCAAGTCCCCTCTGACCCAGCACTCGATGCTCCAGCTTGCACCTAAATTCAAAGGAAAACATTACAGATGATAAAAAAAACCATTCTAAACAATGCAAGAAAGAGAAAGAGCTGAATGTGTCTTTACTGGTGTTTCCATATTACCATGCATAGCCCAACTTGAGAGACACATTCTTACTGCCTAGAGAGCCAAAGGCAAACCTGAGACTTGTCTTAATTGACTACAGTAGCTTCAAAATGCTTGTTATGAATTAACTCTCCAACGACTGCTGTGTCTTTCTGTATTTTATCCTTAGCCCAGAGAGTCCATCTCTCCCAATTTCCCAAACTGTGTCCACCCATATATGGGTTAGTTAGAGTCATATAGGGGACTATTTATTGCTTTAGATGTAAGTTCCACTTGCTTCATATTTTCAGAGATTTACACAAAAGACTTAAAAGTTACTCAGCTATTCAGACTTTCAATATGATTAATAATACTAGCTAGAACTTAAAGGTTTACAACACATTTTATGTATATTCTTTCATTAGATCCTTACAACAACCTAGGAAAGGGCACCATAACTAATACTATCTTCTCACCTTAAATGTGAAAAAGCTGAGGACAGAATGGTTAATGGCTTACTCAAAGTCCCACAGGTAGTAAGTATCAGAAGTAAATTTGATTACAGGTCTCCCTTGCCCAAAGGTCAGCAAATCTTTTCACTATCATGCACTTTGGCAGTTATGATTTGTTACTATGCATGAGTAACAACATGATTTTTGTTCTATTGGATTTAAAAAAAATTGGGGGGAGCTGGATCTGTGATTTCATCAATATTTAGAGATCTCCATGAGGAATTTCCTCTACCAATGTAGGTTGACACCTTCTTTGAAACTTGTTTCAGGAGCAGCTAGGTGGCACAATGAATAGAGCACAAACCCTAGAGTCAGGAGGACCTGGTTCCAATCCAGCATCTGACATTTACTAGCTGCGTGACCCTGGGCAAGTCAGTTAACCCTAGTTGCCTCCAAAAAAAAAAGAAAGAAGAAAGAAACTTATTCTCTTAGGAGAATTGTCAGGGCACTCAAAGGTTGCCAAAGTCACATAGCCAGTAAGCCAGAAATAGAACTTGAACTCAGGTCTTCTTTATTCTGAGATGAGTTTTCTATCCATTATACCCATAGTTCTTTAGTCCAGGAAGGCCTGGAGTTCCCTGAGATCTTTCAAGAGTGTCTGATGGGTCAAAACTATTTTCATAATCACACTAAAATGTTCTAATTGCTAAAATAATAAATATGGATATATATAATCTAGGGGTGTGCTGGTAAATATTAAACTGGCTTGAATAAAAATGTACAGGCATCCCAGGTTTAAGTTTAATCAATGTTATTATCATTTTATCCATCTCTTTCTTAAGTCTAGACAATTAACAAAACAATAAATCAAGCCCTGATTTGTAATGTTTGCCAATTTCCAAGATGTAAATGATCACACTAGAAAATTCAACAATCAGCTCTTAGGAGCTGGTTTGAGCTGACTCCAGCACACCCCTATCCTATTTTTTAAAAGCTTTTTGGGGTCTTCAATTTTTTTTGGCTAGGCAATGGGGTTACATGACTTACCCAAGGTCACACAGCTAGTAAGTGTTATGTGTCCGAGACCAGATTTAAACTCAGGTCTTCCTGACTCCAAGGCCAGAGCTCTATCCACTGGGCCACTTAGCTGCCCCCTTCAATATTTTTTAAGAATGTAAAGGGGTCCTGAGACCAAAAACTTTGAGAACTGCTGCCCTTCACCATGCTACTAGATTGCATACCATAAGATATGTAGGATGAACAGAAATCCTTAAGCTGATGGTAGATTCCCTGATCAAATAGCTGTCACTAAGGAAACTCTCTTTAAAGCACATGAAGTCAATTACATTTACTATCATAGTAGACAGTAACCTTAAGTGGGAAAAGTTTTAGCCATCCTGAAAATACTCTTACAGGTTTCTCATATATTTATATTAATTCTCACCTGACACATAGTTGGTGCTTAATAAATGTTTATTGATTGATTCTGTTACCTCTTGCTTCCATCATAGGTACATATGTTTCTAAAGAATAAATTGTTTAGGGAGCACCCTGTGTATCCACACCAGTCATTTTAGATGGCTCTTCTCTTTCTCCTTAATCAAAAATCATCTTTCTTTATGTCTTCAGAATTTCATTCCTGAGAATTTCCCCTATCTATCCTCAGCTGTCTGCTCCTATGGAATCCTACTCACTCCTTAGAATCCTTTGAAATCTGTTCTCCCAAAATCTGGGGTATATGGAAGCCCATGCCCAGATTTCTACTCCCCTACCACAAACTAGAACCTCCTCTTAACTTTCTAATTATTTCCACCCTCCCCCACTGAAGCCAGTTCCTTTTGTTGGGGAGAATGAAACCTAGAATAGAATTTGTCCTTATTGGTTCCCATATCTTATAAAAGATGAAACTGTCATTAAAGCAACTCAGAAAATTATTAGCTTTTCTGCTTTAGGAAGAGAGAGTCCTTCAGCAGACATTCAGATAACTAAAGCCCCCTTCACTCTGGGAAATCTGGGCTGGAATCACCAGGCTGGGAATCTGTTTCCTGAACTTCTCAACTGTGTCTTCTTTCTGTTCACTTGGTTTATAGCAGACTCGGATGACAAAATCACTTCTATTCCTGCCTCGACTGGTCTTCACCCAAATATAACATGTCCTCACCCCAAATTTCTGGATATCTTCACAAGCATATCATCTTAACAGACAATGCTACACCACATCCACTTCCATTTGTCCTGTTCCCTGTGGATAGCTAGTTAGTTCAGTAGATAGGATGCTTGGCTTGGAACTCAAGAAGACCTGAGTTCAAATCCTGCCCTAGATATTCACTAGCTCATTAACTCTGGCAAAGTCACTTAAACTCTCTTAGCCTCAGTTTTCTCATCTGTAAATGGGGATAATAATAGCAACAACCTCACAGGGTTGTGAGGATCAAATGAGATGAACTGTGTAAAGGACTTATAAATCTTAGGTGCCACATAAATGTTAGCTTTCATAATTATTATTTTTATGAAGCTATAGTCCAGTCATGCTGCTCATCCTGCCAAGCCTTTGGGGGTCAAATTTGTCACTCTATGTTCATCTTGTTTTTAGGGGAGAGGAAGAGAAAGAGACAGAGAGAGAAGAAGAGGGAGAGGGAGAAAAAAAGAGAGAGAGACAAAGGGAGAGAGAGACAGAGACAGAAAGAAAGAGAGAGAGAGAAGAGAGAAAGAAAGAAAGAAAAGAGAGGAGAGAGAATGAAATTCCTAACAATTAGAACTATGTAAAAATGGATTGGGATGGAATGTGCAGTGGCTTCATCCTCCTTGGATATTTTCAGTAAAGGCTCCTCACTAGATACATTTGGAGGTTTTATTCTTTTTCAAGTATAAGTTGGATAAGATGGCCACTGAAGCCCTTTCCAACTCTAAAATTCTACTATTCTGTGAGCCCTAGAGCTGAAGTCAGAAGGCCTGGGTTTCAATGCTACCAAGAACATTTACTACTTATAATACCATGGGCAAGTCACTTCCATATCTTTGAGCTTCAGTTGCCTCATCCATAAAATGAAAATAACAAATATTTGCACAACCTAATTCACAGAGTTGTATTAAACAGTTTTGTAAACATATATAAGAGCTGTAAGTATTGTTATTATCTGTAGTTTTATTAACTAAAATTTTAAAAATAACTTTCTATTCTGAGCAGAATCTACGCTGATTTTAATTATATTAAATAGTTCATTTTATAAAGGAATAGAAATAAAGGGGGTAAATGGCCCCTTATTTTATCCTTCTACTTAATACAACAATTTCTGGTGTTGGTAATTTGATACTATGAATGTAAACCTAATTTTCTTTTATTCATACAAAAATTTTGATCAAGGGAACATCTTTCTATCTACCTCATTCATATTTACTGAACAGTAAGCTGTTTGTCAAATAAAAACAACACTCAAAATGTCAAAAAAAATCTTTTCAAATACTTAAAAAATGAGTTATCTAGAATTTTAAAAATCTACCTCTTTGTTGCAAAGCTTGGGAGAATATTAATGGAGAAACAAATGTCTTCCTTTCTGTGCTGTTTGCACACATGGAGGGATTTTTATCATGTTCACTCCAAAGGCAACAGTAGAAACTTTCTTTGGATGCAAATTCTGAAGGGTGTGAATCACGTGAATTAAAGTTAGTGTCAGCAGTTTGATCATCTCCACTAAAGATAGAAATGTTCTTGGAGAATCCAGAAGGCCAATGGAAGTCAGCAGTCTTGTTTGGTGGCAAACAGGAAAGCATGAAATTCCATGGGGGAATTTGATATGCCATGTCATATGCAATTATCATTTGGATAAAATCTGTGAAGACAAAAAAAAAGAGGCAAATTACAAAGCAGTAAAGCATTTTGGCTATGAAGCCAGTAGAAATTTGAAGACAATAGATACTTCAAAATGATTCTTAAAATTTTCCAAAGTTCCAGCAGAGAGTTTGACTCTTTACTAAGTGTTGTACACACTTAAAGCACCATCATCCATCTACCCAAATCTACCAATGGATCCATGATCTCATCAATGTAGATATTCCTTCTAATGACTCATCAATGCCTGCCCATCCTATATAACTTTTGTCTGTGGTTGTCCCATAAAATCACCACAGCAGATCTCTCCAACATGCTCCATGAAGCTTGATCACAGTGTGGAATTCTCAAAAGCTATACCAAATGGAGAACAAACCTTGAAAGGTTTCTACCATGCTAGAAAGACCTCAGGTATGATTCCAGCAAAAAGGCTCTTTGTTCTCTGGCAATTAAGACAGACATCTCTGGTAACTTTGAGACAGAAGTTTCAATTGAATTTACCGATTCTCTCTCCATCGTCTTCAAATACATCTAGATCCTTCCCATCCTTAAAAGATTCTACCATTTCTACAAATTTTTATACTGTATTTCTTCTCCCTTTCTCAGCCAACTCTAAAAAAAAGTCTTTCTATACTCCTTATCTCCACTTCCTTTTCTCTCACTCACTTCTTGATCCTTTATCCTCTGGTTTCAATTGAAACTACTCTCCCCTAAGTTACCCATGATCTCTTAGGTTACATTGACTAAAATTAGGAAGGTGGGGTAAATATATAAAGGAGGGACTTTCAGAAGGGAGAGTAAAATAAGGAATAAGAGGATAAGGGGAGAAGATAAAGGGGGATAGGGTAAAAAGGGAGGCTGAGAAGGAAAATAATAAAAATAAGGGGGGGGGGAATTCACAAGTAACAATTATAACTTTGAATGTGAATGGGATGGACTCATTCATAAAATGGAAATGGATTACAGAATGGATTAAAAATCAGAATCCAACAATATGTTGTTTACAAGAAATACATTTAAAAATGAGAGATACACACAGAGTGAAAATGGAGGATTGGAGTAGAACTTACTAAGCTTTAGCTGATGCAAGAAAAAAGGTGGGGGTAGCAATAAAAGTATCTTAGCAATATCAGATCTTAAACTATATTATAAGGCAATAATGATCAAAACAATCTGGTACTGGCTAGAAATAGAAAGATAAATCAATGGAATAGAGTAGACATACAATTTACAGTAGCACATAAACATAATAACCTTGTATTTGACAAGTGTAAAGACTTTTTGGGATAAGAATTCATAATTTGGTTAAAATTATTGAGAAACTGGAAAACAGTATGCCATAAACTGGGAATGGACCAATATCTCAAACCATTTACCAAGATAAGGTCAAAGTGGATATATGACCTAGACCTAGATATAAAGAGAGATTTTACAAGAAAATTAGAAGAACATGGAAAATATTATTTATCAGACTTATGAATAGGTGAACAATGTATGAATAAATAAAAGACAGAGAGCAAAATTAGGTATAAAATAGATAATTTCAGTTACATTAAATTAAAAAGATTTTGTACAAGTAAAATAAACATAGCCAAAATTAAAAGGAAAGTAGAAAATTGGTGGGGGGGAGTTTTGTAGATAGTTTATTAAATAAATGTCCCATATATGAGATATATAAAGAATTTTGTCAAATATATAAGAATACAAGTCATTCCCCAATTGATAAATGGTCAAAGGATAGGAACAGTCAGTTTTCCAATGAAGAAATCAAAATAATTTATAGTCATATAACAATGTTCTAAGTCATGATTGATTAGAAAAATGCAGATTAAAACAACTTTGAGATATCATTTTATACCTACTAGGCTGGCTAAAATGATAGAAGGGGAAAGTGATGGATGTTGGAGAGGATGTGAAAAAATTTGGACGCTAATTCATTGTTGGTGGAATTATGAAATGATCCAACCATTGTGGAGAGCAATCTAGAATTATACCCAAAGAGTTATTAAACTACCTGTACCCTTTGACCCAGCAATACTATTACTTGGTCTATTTCCAAAGATGATCGGGGGGAAAAGGAAAAGAATCTGTATGTTCTAAAATGTTTATAACAGCTTTCTTTGTAGTGGCTAAGAACTAGAAGTTGCAGGGATGGATGCCCATCAATTGGGGAATGACTGAACAAGTTGTGTTACATGATTATGATGGAATACTACTGGGCTATAAGAAAAGATGAGCTCAATTAATTTAGAGAAACATGGAAGAACATGAATGAAATAATGAAGAATGAAATGAACAGAACCAAGGGAACACTGTATAGAGTGACAACAATATTGTTTTAGGAAGAACTTTGAGCAAATAAGTCATTCTGTCATTTATAAATACCCAAATTAACTATAAAGGACATATGAATAAAGATGCTATCTGCATCCAAAGAAAGAATTGATTAATAAATGTATGTATAGAATAATTATACATACATACATATATAATATATGTATATGTGTGTGTGTGTGTGTGTGTGTATACCTATTTGGGCCTAATAATAGCCATCTCTAGGGTGGTGGAGGAGGAAAGAAAAACAGAAATTTACCTGACAATTTTGTTGTATATTTGAAAGGAATAGCAAGTTGTGCATAGCAGATTTGCAGTTTCATGGACAATCATCTCTTTTATTGTACTATGTTATGGAAATGTGTGCTTTATTCCATAAATTAAAAAGAAAAGAAGAGAAACTACTCTCCTCTAAGTTATCAATAATCTTAATTGCCAAATCCGATCATCCTTTTCTCAGTGCTCATCATCCTTAACCTCTGTTTGACATCCTTCTCCTTCTCTTGGGTTTTTATAACACTGGTCTCTCCTGTCTCTCCTCCTACCTGTCTGGCCATTTCTTCTTAGCCTCCTTTGCAAGATGCTCACCTATATCATGCCCATTAATTGTGGGAATTCCCCACCACTCTTTCCTGAACCCAGTTCTCTTTTCCCTCTATGTCATCTCCTGCATCAGTTCCAGGAATTCAATGATCAGCTCTACATAGATGACTTGCAGATCCATATAACCATCCTTATTCTCTCCCTGGTAAACTAGTCTTGCATCACCGGCTGCCTACTGAATCTGTCAAACTAGATGTTTCGTAGGCATCTCAAACTCAACATTTCCAAAATGGAAAGCATTTATCTATCCCCCCAAACCCACACCTCTTCTGAACCTCTCTTACTGTGGGGTTCACCACTATCATTCTAGTCATAGTGGCGTTATTGACTTCTCATTGTTCACCCCACATATTCAATATTTTGTCAAGTTTTCTCATTTCTTCTTTTACAACATACCCTCCCTATGCTGGTTTCTCTCCACTCTCACCTCCAACACCCTAGTTCAGGCCCTGATTTCCTCTTGCCTACACTATTGCAATGGTCTCCTAACTGGTCTCCCTGCCTTAAGTCTCTCCCCATGCTAGCCAATTTGTGCACATATACCAAAGTGATTTTCTGAAGTGCAGTTATGATCATGTCACACACACCCTCACACACTCAATAAAGTATTACTTAGAGCAAAAACTCCTCTGTTTGGCATTTGAAGCTTTTCTGTTCCCATTCTAGCCTTCTTTCTAGCTTTCTTGCTTATTACTCCCTTCCATGCCCACTAGAGTCTAGTCATACTAGTTTATTTGCTGTTCCTTGAACATGACAATCTCTCTTCCATCTCTTTACTATTGCACTGGCTATCCCTGATGCCTGGGATGAACTCCTTCCTCACCTCAGCCTTTTAGAACCTGTACTTTCCTTTAAGATTCAGTTTAAACATTCCCTTCTGCTGAGACTTTTCCTGGTCATCTCCTTCTCCTTTGGCTGCTACTGACTTCTCCATCAAAGTTGCTTTATATCTTCTCTATACACACTTCATAGATACTCATTTATGTGTCTTGTATGTGAGGGGATGACAGACCATGGGCACATATACTGGGCTGTCCAGACTTCTGACTGACCATGTGTGGGCTCAATGCTGAAGGACTTGGCATTTTGAGATGGCCAAGTAATCCCCTTATTAGTGCCTAAGACCCATGATCGTTGGGGGAGGGAGAACAGAATCAGTTTTAAAAGCTCTCCCTCTTCTTTTGAATGTTCTGTATAGCAAGCAGGTCTCCCTTGCTGGACTTTTAATGGAAAAACATTGCCCTTTTGTTCACGCCCCCTGACCCCAGTCATAGAAGTTGCCCACATAGGTGCAACAGCAGATATTCGGCCAGATGCACTGAGCCTGAGCCTTGTGGTTCCCTTGAGTATGAGTATAAGTAAAATAAATTTAATACAACAAACAGTAAGTACCTACTGTGTGCCAGGCACTATGCTAAGTGCTAAAGATACAAATAAGAAAAAGAAAGATAGTTCCTGCCCTCAAGGAGCTTACAATCTACCAGGGGAAGACAGCACACAAAAGTGAGATGTAAAGGGGGGGTGTCAGAGAGTACTTGGCTTCAGGGCATGATGATGATGGTAGAGTCAAAACTAAGCAGAGCAGTTGATAACAAATGGAAAGAGAGCTGTCTGGGATTTTTAGCCTCCTATAAGGGGAGGCTTCTGGAGGAATGGTAAGTGAGGGCACTGATGAGGTGTAAGTACCAAAGCTGAAGCAATCTCTATGATGAGGAGTTTTTTGGTAATGCTGTTCTGTGGGTGCAAGAGAAGCTGATGATGGTGGTGGAGTCAAAACCAAGCAAAGTAGCTGGTGGCTAACGGATGACCAAACAGCAATCTCAGAACAGGCATGTCCAACCTTGGAATCAGTTTTGTAAGGTCAAGAGGTCCCAAGATCCTGAGTCCCTTAGCTGAAGCTACCTGATGGCTTAGAGAACTTGTGAATCAGAGGAGATACCATCAAAAGGGAACTGATGGACTTCTGGGCAGGTCTGCCAGAAGATGTGGACCTGAAGGGATCATTTATACCAGGAGTGGGGAATCTGCAGCCTCGAGGCCACATGTGGCCCTCTAAGTACTCAAATGTGGCCCTTTGACTGAATCCAAGTTTCACATAACAAATCCTAAGGGGACTTGAGGACCTAGAGGACTACATGTGGTCTTGAGGCCACAGATTCCCCACCCATGGTTTAGACTGTGCAGAGCTGAACCACAATATAAAATGCCTGTTGGGCAGTCTCACAAACTGTATCATGTCTTAATGTTTTAAGTACCAGCTTCTTGAAAGAATATAATAATAGTGCTAAATTACTGTATCCTGTTTTGACTTCATTAATGCCACTTGTAGGCCCTGTGTGTGTTAAGTGTTTTTTGTGTGTGGAGAAAATAAACAGTTGAGCTCTACCTAACCTACTCTGAACTGCTTAGGACATCTGCCTAAATCAAAGAAGGATGAGAAAATGAACCTCTCTCATTAAAGTCCAGGCTCCCTTAGGACAGAATCTGGCCACTGCATGAATGAGTCCAAAGTCGAGGAGAGCTTAATGAAGAAAGGGAAAGCATTTTTACAAATCATTAAAAAAAAAAAAAAACCTTGGGGTAATTAAATCTACATCATCCTGTCTTATTTTCACATAGGAAAAAAGAGAATTGAAAAAGAGCTTAATGAATATGAAATAATAGAAATGAGAAAAAATTCCACTAATACAAAAAAATATAATTCATTAAAAGCACATTAGCAAGTTAATAGCATATGACAAATTCAGCATATTAAATCTGAATGGACAAATAGTTATTTTAGGCCTTTTATTCAAAGCAAAATCCTACCATGATCCTCTTTCTGACATGTTCATTTTTTCCAATAAATGCTTTTTAAATCAGTTGCTATCTGAAAAGTAATCACGTAGTTTAATTTTTTTTCTTGTTTAACAAAACAAAGAATATGTAGCATGACTCATTGGCTGTAATAAGGTTTTCAACCCCAATAGAAAGATGCAATCAGTTGGAATGAGCCATAACCTCATATCCTTGACAAATAAACTGGGATAAAAAGTACAATGAAGCAATGAAGACGTTGACTCTACAGTGGACGGTGACTTTTTTGTCGGCTGAATGGAAAGAAGGTCCGACGTTGTCATCTCACCTTCCTCAGCAAATGCTGCTTTACTCCACAAGTGGAACTGGCTCTGTTCGGTGTAATTAGACAAAATAGGAGCTCATCAGTTTGCTGTCTAAAGGCCGGATCCTTTTAAATATTCTATGTAGCCAAGGACTTGATCAAGGCCAGAGATCTCAACCAAAGAGTAGTCCAATATAGAGACCAAAAAGACAACTGGAACTAGTTCACCTTCTTCAGGGGGCCCTTCATGATCTTCTGACCTGCCAGTAGCTCTCCCTAACTACTTTCTCCTCCTCCTCCTCCTTCTCCTTTTTTTTTCCTTCTTCATTTTTACTTTTGTTTCAGTTTTTATTTGCAAGAAGCTGAGACACATCATGTTCTACTTTTGAACGTGTTTTTGTCCTGCATGGTTTTCATTTTGATTTCTTGAATATAGCTCTGAAAAAACAGACTTTTGAAAGTCCACTGCGTTTTAATTCGAGCTACTCGACTCGACCTTAAAGCCCAAATCACTCTTTCGTTGAATAGCCAATAATAGCCACATCTCAGGCCTCTGTGACTTATTGTCTAGGTTTTTGATGGCTTAGAATGAGTAAATAGCAATTGTTTCTGTTCTAGTCAGAAATTCTGAGGGTCTCCCCCTCCCAGGCTGATAACTTTGTGATGGCAAATTGAGCCATCTTTAGCCTCAATTCTTACCCAGCCCTCAGATGTTGAATGGACACGGTCTCAGACAAACTGAGACCTGGGAAAGACCTTAATTTAGAAAGGCTCAGGTCACTGACTGCACCCTGGGCCATTGCCAGACATCTTGACCTTTGTCTCCCACTGGATGACACTGAGAGAGGGAGTGAAGCTGAGGACTTTGAACAGCTCTGCTCCACTCGTATCAAATTCACACACAAGTCAAGACATCATTGGTCCTCTTTGAGAACAAAGGACAAACAACACTTTCAATTAGTTGAAGACAACCAGAAGTCTTCTCTTCCTCAGTGTATCCACTCCCAGGAGCTACAATTAATCCTGGAATGGCATGGTTTTGAGAACATTACCATTATGCCTGCCCTCCTATGGATGAATTCCTGATTGATAAGAAACCTCATTCTACCTAGCCAGTCACTCTTATCTCAGACCCAACGATGTTCTTTCATCCTGACCATTTTTTTAGTCTACTTCTGCACGCCCAATCCTACCCAATCACTCTCTTCCAAACACACACATACACTCAGACACAAACACACACGCACATACACACACCACACACACACATACACACAACACACACACATACACTCAGACACAAACACACACGCACATACACACAACACACACACATACACTGTCTACCTCTTGCTCTGAGAATTTAATCAAATTAATGCTACCATTGCCTCTGGCAAATTTATATCTAACAACTGTCCTGTTGATCCATTTGCCAACCCAACAACTCCCCTACGATGTGTTATCTCCAATTCTTCCTCACTACCATTCACTTATATGTGTTATCTCCACTTATTAGAATGTAAACTCTTTGAGAGCAGGAACTATCTAACCTTTATATTTGTATCCCCAGTGCCAGGAATACAGATATCACCTTATAAGTGCTTTTTCATTCATTCCAGTTTGTCAATAATCTTCATTAATTAAGTAACTAAAACAGGATTACTGGCTGCTCCTCAGAGATTTTTCCTTAATATGGACAGATTTAAATTTGTAGAATTCAATAACATTCTAATTGGGGTGAAAAGAAATGAAAGACTATAATTTTCAATTTTATATTCTCCAGTTTCACGTGTCACAATGAAGAACAGAGTGAGTGGGCAAAATACGTATCATCCCACACATATGGGCTATCTAAAAGTATAAAGTCAGTATTTTAAATACATTCTACAATTGATCTGATCCCTAAACTAAAATCTCTAGATTCAAAAGAATGAGACAATATTATTTTTTTTTTTAAATAAGATGTGATGCTGACCAAACCACAGCTTTTCTGTGGTCATAAAGAATGGAATATCCTCTTTTCTTCAGACAGATGTCTTCCCTCTCTTTTAGATTTTAAATATCCTGACATACATGAACATTGAGGGGAGATGTTATTTATAACTGCTGAATCTTCACATAAAAAGATTTACAGTTAGATTTTGTGGGGCAAAATCTCTCATAAAGTGTGGGGCTTCAGAACGGTTAAAAAAAACTTACCCCATTGGAGCAGTGCCACAAATAATTTTTGAAAACCCATCTTGTTCTAAGATGTGGAACTGGAAAAATTAATCTGAAATGGAAAAAAGGGAGAGTATTACACTCAGAGAATTATGGGAAAAAAGGAAAGAGCTGAGTTTATTACTAATGTAGTTTTAGCTCCCATAGAAAAGTCCCCTACGTAACATGCAATTACTGGCTGTCACCAATCTATTCCACTGCTCATCCTACTTTTTACAATTTTAAACATTCACATAATCAACAGTGTTCTGATATCTTTTATATCAAAGCAAACCAAAGTGAATTTCATAGAAGAGTGACTATTTTTAACTAAATAGAAATACTCACAGTTTTAATTAACTATCGAACAGTCAATATCACACCATGAATGGTATTGGGAGATCTCCAGCCCTCACACTCAATTGGTCACCTCCCCAGCTCATTTCCTGTCTCTGGTTTTTCTTATAGCACTATAAAGCCATAATGTCATCATGCTGGTAAAATGACAATGCACACATTCATTTCCAAAACAAGGGACACATTTTAACCTGTGGTTTTAGGAACTCCTGGCCCCTTTGCATGAGGAAAAGAGGAGGCTATATTTCTAATAATGGAAAATAAGTTAAATAGTTCCCACAAACCCTGAGGCACCAGAGTACAGAAAACAGTGCAGCTAGCTTTGGGACTGCTGACCCATGGGTTCTACTCAATGAGAAACACCTTGCTGACAAGGGGATCCATGAAAGCATTGATCATCCATACAAATATGGACACACTTTTGTTCAAGAGAGTTTGCACAAATGTGCAATAATAAACACAAATATACTACTATTTACAGGATCTTGGCTATGACCAACATCACCCCCAAAGTCTCCTCAAAGCTTCAAAAGCTTTGCCTCAAAGCTTGGTGGTTGGCTTTTTTTCGCTTGCCTGAAAGCTCAGTCCCAAACCTTTCATTTCATTCCAGGTAATAAGTAGTCTCTTTAACATCTTAATGTTTCTCCTCAGGATTAGACTTTTTCTTCTTTATCTTCTTTTCAGTTAATGACAGGAAATGATCTTTGAGCTTCTCCCAATGCTCTTTAGAGAGTTACCATTATAAACCACAGGATTTGCTCATAAAATAACACTTAAGAGAGTCCTGGTAAAAAAGAAATCCATTCTCATCCTACTCCTTCATTTTACATGGGGGGAAACTGAGGTTCAGAGAGTATTAGCAGCCTGTCCAAGGTCACAAAATAAAGGATAGAACTAGAACTAAAACTGAGGTCTCTGGGTTCTCCATCCAAAGCTCTTTCCACCGGACTGCACGTGCACATCTTCACAAGGAAATCCAGGCACGATCCATAATCTATTACTCATTTCTGAGTAAGTCCTTCACTTCCTCTTACCTTTCCTTTTTGGAGAGGCATAAATACTGATTCATGCTGGAAACTCCATAGGGGTTATCAACCCTTATCATCACTATTGGAACATGAATTTTTCCTTTGAGGTCATCTCTCCCTAAAGGATCCATGGTAAATAACAAAGCTTCCCTGAAACATTAAAGCTTCCCTTCTTTACTGAACAAACATTTGTCCACCTAAAGCTAAGGCCTGGGAAGAAGCTCAAAAGCAAACAATATCAGAAAACCAGGTATGAAACAGGCCTAGAATGACATGTACAAAGGTCATAGAATCCCAGCAGCTGAGCGTTAGAAGGGGCTTTGGAGGACATCTCAGCCTAACCTCTATCAGACTAAGAGTCCCATGCTGGAAGATAGTAGAAGCTTGACTCCTGAGAGAAATGAGTCTAAGTCTAAATGAAATCAGACTTATGATGAGTAATTAATTATCTTTCAAGAAAAACAGAAAGTTTGCCCTCTGCACTGATGTCCTAACTCACTCCTGGGAAGCATAGGGAAAATCTGACAAACGTCACCTTGCGAGATGATACCCACTAGCTAGTTTCTGTTCTGTAGGTAAGACTGGTTAGAACTGCAGTTGTCCAACTTTTTGGTCTCAGGACCATTTAAGTTATTTAAAATGACTGAGTATTAAAAATAATTGAGGCAGCTAAGTAGAAAAGTGGAGAAAACCCTGGCCCTGTAGTCAGGAAGACCTAAATTCAAATCCAGTCTCAGACAATTACAAGTTGTATGACCCTAGGCAAGTGACTTAACTTCTGTTTGCCTCGGTTTCCTTATCTGTAAAATGGGAATAATAATAGCACCTCCTTTTCAAGGTTGTTGTGAAGATCAGATGAGAGTATTTGTGAGATGCTTAGGTCAGTGCCTGGCACATAATAGGCACCGTATAAATGTTGTTGTTGTTGTTATGTCCAGGGTTTGCTGGCACCCAGCTGGTAGAAGCATGCAAAAGCCAATTGTTAAATTTTCAGTGTAAGAATTTACTCCTCAGAATACAAATTGATTTATTGGGGTTTTGTTGGCTGGCTGTCTGAACTAAAGAACATGATGGAGAAAATGTTAATATAGACTAAACTGAAATCTGTGTTGGGTGTACTTTTTTTTTCTGGAGAGCTGGTTGTCAAACATTTATTGACACACAGTGAGTTTTCCCTATCAATACTTACTGGAGTAGAAATTAAAATATCTTAATTTTATTATGAAATAATTTAATTAGGAAAATAGTGTGGGCATTATAGATCCCCTGAAAGGGGCCCAGGACCCCCACACACACACCAAGGGTCTCCAGACCATAGTAGTAGACTGATTCTGCTTGGTCTCAAAATGCACACTGTTTGAGAGCAAGGCAACAGCATCTAACCCACTCCTAGGCATACAGATGATGCTTAGATGAGCACTAGCTTCATCTGCCTTTGTCCTACATTGGATCTTCTCTATCAAGAGTAAACATCTTTGGCAAATGACTCCTCCCTACTTTGTGCCTTGCCTAATATTATAAAGTAGGTAGGGGGCACGCTGCATAAAAATGTCAGCTTGAAATCAGAAAGACCTGAATTCAAATCCAGCCTCAGACACTTTCTAACTGTGTGACCTGGGCAAATCACTTACCCTCTCTTTACTTCAATTTCTTAATCTGTAAGAGGGGAATAATCAGAGCACCTACCTCCCAAGATTGCAGTGAGGATAAAATATCACATTTGTAAAGTGCTTTGTGAACCTCAAATCATTAAATAAATGTTAAATAATACAAGTCTATCACTTTCTCTGCTACTCCATCTTTCAAGCAATCTTGCTTAATTTTGATATATGTTACGGAAGATTCCTTTTTGCAGGAGGGAATTAAGGTGGCATTTTGGCCTACCAAATCTGTTTTTTAATAGGTTACAAACCATAACAATGCATTTAGAGGTCACCAACTATGTATTGCACAAAGAGATTTTTGTAATTATATCTCATTTGATCCTCACAACAACCCTGAGAAGTAGGTGATATTATTATCCCCATTTTATAGATAAAGAAACTGGGGCAGACAAAGGTTGAGTGACTTGCCTAGGATCACAGAGCTAGTATTTATCTAAGGTCAGATTTGAACTCAAGTCTTCCTGACCCCAGGCCCAGTGCTCCATTTCCCCAGAGTATGGCTTCAGTGAAATGTATATACTAAATACCAGCTGGAAATAAACAATGCCATTTTGATATCCATGGGATGAGCAGCATGGTAGGTAGCAAGACTTCCTGTGCCACAGTCAGAAGGCCCAGGTTCAATCCTGCCTCTATCACTTCCTATTTGGATGATGGTGGGTAAGTCCCTTCACCTTCTTGGGTCTCAGTTTCCCCATCTGTAAAAGAAGGGTTTTGAGTTAGATGGCTTCCAAGGTCCCTTCAAGCTCTAAATCTATGAGCTTATAATGGAAGGTGATAGAGGAGCTCATTTCTTGCATCAATTAGGGGCAACTGATTCCATTGATTCCTAAATATTACCAGGAACCAGGAAAAGTGACTGGCAAAGGAAAACATGTACAACAGCCTGACAATTCCATTGCTGTAAAGAATGGACCCAATGGGCCCCATCTGCCACAGAGTTTTGTTTTTCCTTGCACTAGAGCAAAATTCTTTTGTCTTCCAGTTAACAAGTAACAGAGCAAATCTTTTGTTTGGACGTTGTTCTATTCTAAATGCTAATTTTATGTCCTTCATCTGTCATTTTCCCTAGATGCTTTCAAAGGTTGTGAGATCAGTAGAACACATCAGAGGTTCTGTTATTTCTAGTGTATTCCAGTTTCTCTTCTTCTCCTAGATGAGGATGCAGACTGGATGGCCTTATCACTCCTGAGTACTGGAAGGAAGGAAATGAACTTTTATTAAGCATCTACTAATTGGCAGGCACTGTGCCAAACACTTTATAAGTTGACCTTATTTGGTCCTCACACCAACCCTTGAAGACAGGTGCTATCATTATCCCCATTTTACAGATGAGGAAATTGAGACAAACTCAAGTGGCTTACCAAGGGTCATTTAGGCTAGTTAATGTCTGAGGTCAGATTTGAACTCATAAAGACAAGCCTTCTTGACTTAGGGCCCTGTGCTCTATTTGCTGCCCCACCTAGCTTGGCATAAAGCATGGGTGGCCCAATGTGATCCCTGACCTAAGGCCCTGATGTTGCTGGTTCCATAAAGGTAAATAAGCCAGAATCCCTCATCTCCTCTCATTGATGCCATGCTCATAGCTTCATCCTGAAGTCCAGAATCTCGTGGTTGGAAGGAATCTCAAGGCCACCTAGTCCGACCAGGGCCTGTATAAGAATCTCCCTATCAGCATCCCTGACAAGTGGTCAGTCAGCCTTTTCCTGAGGTCCTCCCTTCAGGGAAGGAGGTATCCCCTCTCCAAGCCATCCTCCGCAGTGATGCTGGGAGCAATCTTTCCCATGTCCTTCCATTATGATTATGGGACTCCTCTCCTTAAAACTCTTCTGTGGTATCCCATGGACTGCTGAAGAAAATACAGATTTCTGATCCTTCATATTTGGGCTCAGGCTACCCCCTCCCATTCATCGCACAGCAAAAGAGCCAAAGTGACCAGCCGCACAAGTAACCTCCCAAATATACTTCCACTCAGTGGACCAGGTCATTCC